TGCACACTAGTGAACAAAAACTGCCCAAACGCAGAAACTGACGCCCACTACTACCAAATGACGGCCTTAGAGAATAACTATCGAGAAAAGCAAACACTTTAGCAGCCTCTCCTTCCGAAACAGAAAATAAAGACGTCTCTTTCGAATCGGAGGATAGAGGTGAGGCATCTTCCTCTCTCCTCTTTCCATTAATCACTAGCCTTGTTCCTTTCTGAACCAGAGTCTGGAGGCTGATGGTCAGAATCTTTCTGAGACAGATTATTATTAGAACTGCTCCCTGGAATCCAAGGAATCAGTGTTAATGCATCAAAGCTCCCGCCAAGCCCTCACAATGACGAACAAAACATGCCTGAGATCCCCATCACCACCATTCATCGCCCTCTCTTCCCAGGGCTGAGAATCAGCCCAGGAATTCAGGAAAGTGAGAAGACCCTCAGGCCCCTCCTCTCCTCCAAAGCTCCCTCAGGACCTCTCTACACCTTGAGTCGCTAAGTAAGCTTTCAACTGCCAAGAAGCCCAGGCTTAGCCACACACAAGATGGCAGCCAAACACCTACCGAAGGAAACAGCTGCGCCACCTCTCCAGCGAAGCCAGCCTCTCGACTGCGGTTATCCCCATTGGCCCAGACAGAGAGCGCGAGACAACCCGAGAGCTCTGACAGCCAATTGGGAGTCGGCGCGCCCCTGCGCCGCCGCGTTGCTGGAGATACGCGCGCGGATCTCTGAGGCGTGGACCCAGTGGGGTGTGCAACCAATGGGCACCCCGCCAGGCGGTGGGATCCGTTGGTGTCCGACTCCTCCCACTTAGTATTCGCAATTGGTAGACCTGGATGTTAGAGATTGGGCGGTTCGCATTCTCGGCTGTGGCGAGGCGGAACAGTTGATACTGAGGTGAGAGCTGAGGTGAAGTACATCCTGGCGAGGGGGCACCTGGGCTCGTGGATTCTTGGTGGCGTGGAGTCGGAGAGGAGCCCGACCCCAGCCTCACCAAAGGAGCGGGCAGAGTGGTAAACGCAGTGGAGCTAGTGTAGCTGAGGCACGGCCGTGGGTGGCCCCCGACAGGTTCTGGGGCCCAGGACCTGAGAGCGCCGCGAAGCCCTCAGCCGCGTGGATCTCAGCCCTTGCAACCTCCCTTTTCCTTTCACCCACGTGCAGTCCCGGGCTGGCTGAGTTCTCAAGCCCCATTTCAGTCTGTCTCTCCGTATACACCTTAATGTGATGTGATTCCTAAGCAGCTGGGAACCCAAGGCTGTAAAAGGGGCTGCAGGATATGGACTGCAGTATAAAATCCAGAAGCAGAACTTGAAGGTTTAACCACTGACCCATTGCACAGGTAAGACTACACAAGCCCTAAGTAAAATCATTTTCCCAAGATCACGGAATTGAGAGTAGATCTTAAGAGCACGTGACATTAACCGCAAACCAATAAGTTTTTACCCAACGCATAGTTAAAATAAGGAACAGTATGTAGTTAACTGCTCTTCGGCATGTGGAAACCTGCAACGAGTTCTGTATGTGTTGAGGCCAAGAAAAGCGGTAACTAAGGCGGCAGAGTGGAATAATAAAAAAACGTGGGCTCAGACCATTCTGTTTCTTTATTTTTAGTATCTGGCACTTACGGAGTGGCATGCCTCAGTTACCTCACTGGAAAAGCAGATATGCTAATTTACATGATTGTTATGCAGACTATGAAAAAGTGAGATATTTAGAAGTGTGACTGACACATGGGTTATTCTCAAATGTTCATTACCGTCATCTTAATTAAAACATAAGAAACAGAGGAAATGGTCACAGTTTCATAAGAATCTATTTCTAAAAACAAAAAGGAACTGTAAATTGAAGTGAAACTACTTTTCTGCCAAAATGAACAAGTGAGAAAGGGGAAAATATGAACAAATCAAAAAATTCCTGTTACACTTCAAAATGTTAACACTAGTTGTCTCTGGATGATGTGATTATGAGTGATTTAAATTTTCACCTATATGCTTTGCTGTATTTGCATATTTTCTCCAGTAAGCATGTTTTACTTTTGTAAGTTCAGTTATTTAAAAAATTTTAGAAGATACTAACACCGGGGAGAGCTTCCTTTAAAAAGAAGCTATTACTGAGTGTGCTTATATACTGTAGGTGGAAGTATAAATTGTTAGAACCCTTCTGGAAAGCAGTCTGGCAGTATGTTCTAGAAAGCTTTAAAACAGACAGTCCCTTTTTGAAAATTATATACTTAATTTTTAAATTGAGTACACTTTTACATTTTTCTTTTACAAAATTAGAACCTTACAGATAAACAGTTCACAATTCCTGAATTCCCGCTTGCTCCCCCACCCCACAACAAAGACTTGCTGAGTCCACTTTTTTTATACCTAAAATAGATACATATATGCATTTGTAATTTTTAAAGGAGAAATAGTATATTATAATTCTGTAATTCTTGATAATTTTGCATCGTATACATGTTTATAGCTCATATTCTCATTTTACTGCTCAATAGTGTTCCAGTGTATAACCGCATTTTTCTGTTAATGTAAAATATATATTTTTATCTCATCGGTTTTCATAGTAAATTCAGTTTTGTTTGTTGTGTACTGTATACCACATTTTCTTTGCCATTCTCCTCTTGATGAACAAACGTTAGGTTGTTTCCAATTTTTCACCTTAGAAACAATGCTGCAGGGAAATTCTTGTATGTGTTTTCTTGTGCACATGTGCTATTTCTCAAGATATATACCTAAAAGCGGAATTGCTTGGTTTTGTTATGAACATTTTTATTTTTAATACGTCTTGCCAATCTTCCTACAAAATACTTCTACTAATTCACACATCCCACAAGTAGTTATTAGAGTTTAGTTTCCCTGTAACCTAGATCAAGGAGACATTATCTTTCTTTTTGCCCATCTGGTGGATGAAAGTGGTACTCATTTTTTAAAATTTCATTCTCTGATTACCAGTAAGGTTGCAGTGTCCGTGTTTATTAACCTATAATTTATGTAAATTTGTATAATGTCTTTTTTAAAATATCCATTTTTCTATTTAGTCATCTTTTTCTGAATAATTTAGAAGTCTCTATGTGTCCTGGATATGGTATCCTGTATAATTTTTAAAAATTCCTTCAGCGTGTATGCTATGTCCTTTCTTTGTTACTACTGTTAAAACATGTTACATTTTCTCCCAACTTTTTGTTTGGCTTTTAACTTTTTGGTTTTGTTAGTTTTTGTTTATTCTACAGATTTTTCTCTCTACAATCTTTAGGCCTCTTTTTGTTTTACTGTATTTTTCTAAGATTTCCAGTACAGTATTCAATAAGAGCAGTGGTGGCAAATGTCCTTCCTCATCCTGTGCCTGACTTTAAATGAAAATACTTCTACTGTTTCATCACTATGATGTTTGCTGCTAGATTTTAGTAGGCAGTCTATCAGGTTAAAGAAGTTCTCTTTTATTACTAGTTTGTTAAGAGTATGCCCTCTCTCCTTCCCCCAACAGTTGTTGACTTTCACTGAATTTTTTAAATTTTGTTTTCCTGCACCTGAGATGATAGTTTTCCTTTATTAATATAGGGATTAACATTGAGAAACTTTCCAGTGTTAAATTTTTGCGATATTCCTCTGATAAACTCTATATTGGTAATATACTTTTAGTCAACTGCTGCATATTTTTACTTAGTACTTTTGCTTATATACCCAGAAGTGCTTTTGGCCTTGAGTTTCTTTTTTTACGTGTCAAGGCTATACTAATCTC